TCTCTCTCTCTCTCTCTCTCTCTCTCTCTCTCTCTCTCTCTCTCTCTCTTCCTTTTGCCTCAAAGGGTCTTCTAGGCTTTGTTAAAATGTAAAGTCTTTTTTAATAAGCTGTTTGATCCAACAAGATAAGAAGTTAGCCACTGTTTTCAGGGAGCTTTCAGCTCTGTTTGTTTGTTAAAGCTGGTGGAATGGCTCCTGGGTACAGTGGCTCTTGAGAGTTGCCAGTGCTGCAGTAATTGCTTGATTGTCACACTATCTTACATTTTTGTGAAGTGATTTTTACTGAAGCCTGAAACCATGTCTCCTCTTTGTACTTCAGTCACAACAGCAAGACCACGACCTGGCTGGACCCCCGCCTTGCCAAGAAGGCAAAGCCTCCCGAGAAATGCGAGGAAGGAGGTGAGACGATATCTGCAGATAGTCGGTATGGTAGTAACCTTTGCACTAGGGCACTTAGAGCCCTCAGTCCTCCTTACCCATACACACTTACACTTCACCCCAACTCCCTGCTGCGTAGAGCAGTGTGTGCATCCCTTGAATCTCTGAAGAGGGCGCTGGCTAACAGACGGCGATGCAACAGCTGAGCGGGCCTGGTCACAGTCATGCCGGTGACACAGAACAAACCTCCAGTCTCCAGCCTGCCCCTCTCCTCCTAATGGCTTCTGGGACACATGCAGCGACCTCATCAGTGCAGCATCTCTGAAAAGGCAATTTCCTAGGTCCCCTCTTGCATTAAGATCTCCTCTGAGCCGCATGCGTTTGTCACACAGCAGCAGAGACTCAAGATGTTGCACACATACACACTGCTGGAAAGGAAGGCTATTATGTTACAGGGAGGCTATATAACAACTCGGCATTTCCTACTTCTCTCCCTGCCTCCTCCGCAATGTGTATTAAGCCCTGAACACATAGTGACATTAAAAAACAAAAGCCGTCCTCCTGTTCTCTAGGTGTAGGCAGGCACGCTGTGAAGCTGCCAGTCAAAGCGCCACGCCTCATTACGTGTGTTCAATTGTCCATGTGGTGCCTCAGCAGTATCAAAAATGATTCACATCTGCCCTCTCCCTCTCTGTTCTCCCACCAGAGCTGCCCTACGGCTGGGAGAAGATTGAGGACCCGCAGTACGGCACCTACTACGTAGAGTGAGTAAACTTCTCCCGGTGCATTAAGGGGACCCAGGGGGATACCGCTGTGATTTGTGGTGGATGTAGATAACATGGTCTACTGCTTGCTCATATTCAGTCTCTTTGTGTCTTTGTTGAAGCGACAGACTAAAGGTCCAACCCAGTGCTTCAACTAACTGTATACCTGTGTGGGTCCTCTCACTAACTACACTTTTCTGACTGAGTTCCGTGTTGTTTTCATAGACCGTATATAGGAAGTGAACGTAGTCACCGTGACGTCACCCATTGGTGTGCGGATACGATTTTGAAGCCTTGAGTTTGGTGTTTTGGCCGTCCACATCTTGGTTTTTGGTCGTTGCCATCTTGTTTTTTTGCAGCCAGAAGTGACACAAGAGGGTTGCAAAAGCCGAACGCTGGATAAGACATTTTATGGCAGTTAAAATGTCACAATTTACTTTTTCATGAACTGAAAACACACTGTGAAAGTGTAAAGTTTCTAAGACGAAAACACAACAACTCCCAGACTAGACAAAGCTGTGGTAGCGACCTGTCAATCCCGGGGTAGCCACGCCCTAAATCATACCCTGTTGTTTCGTCTATTTTACTCTAAATGGGACCATAACTAACTATATTAACTATTGAAGGAGAATTGAGACTATAAACTTATATTTACAATGTTTACTGAGGTAATAAATTAAGTGAGAAGTAGGGTCATTTTGTCCTAGACTTCCATACAATCCGACTTATTTTTGCAACCAGATGAGTCGCCCCCTGCTGGACATTAGAAGCAATCCAAGTTTAAAGAAGTTCCGCATTAGCTCCACTTTTCAGAACCGGATGTTGTTCTTGATTATTATATTAACATCTTCTGCAACTTAAAGCCGTACAGCTGAATTCCAGACGTAGACAAGTATTGTGTGTGAATCTTAGGGGACCTGTGGAATATGTGGCATATGCTATTGTCCATATGGTTCTTTCCCACAATCCTACAGAAAGCAATTATGTCATTACAGATTGCAGTGGTGATTTACAGCTTTGCGTGTGTGTGGGTATGTGTGTGTGTGTGTGTGTGTGTGTGTGTGTGTGTGTGCGTGAAAGAGAAAAGACAGTGAAGGCAACAGACAATGAAGGTTTAGGGTCCCTGAGAGCGAAACAAGGGGCGAGATTCCATTCAGATCATGAGTGTAAATAAGAGCAGAATGTTCCATTTAGTTTCATTATTGTGGTCAAAGAGGGAGAGACCTGCAGGCAGGAGGGGAGGGGAGGGGGGGAATCAGTGCGCATGTTTATGCAAGAGGGTCATTGAGAGGCTGCCTCTCCCCTGTCTCTGTCTCTTTGTCTGGCAAATTTTGATCCGAATGAACGACCGAATGCGACGATGTGACACAAAGTGTCATTGTTTTTGCCAAACAAAACACGAGGTGTGGCAACCAAGGGGTGAGAAAGTTAGACAGAGAGGAAATGAAAGAGAGGGAAATGTTTATCTCCCCAGACTTAATGGGAAGGGTATCTCTGTGCATGAGTCATACGCAGCAACAGCACACGCACGCACACACACACACACACACACACACACACACACACACACACACACACACACGTCAATGTCTCAGCATGTGGCTGATTCGCTGCGCACCATCAGTGCATTTCGCCTTCCCAAGGTGCTGTCATGAGTGGGATTTACAACTGATCAAGCTCATTACGCAGATGAGCTACCTTTCTCCATTACCATCCAACCGTGGAGGGACCTTTCATCCAGGTAGCAGGGAAGATTTCAGCACACAGGTGGTAATTGTTAAAACAAATTCATTAATTGTTTTTAGATTGACTTTGGAGTAAATTCTCCTAAGTATAGCTGCTGATCCTGAGTCAGTAAAGCTGTTTATTTTCAAAGCTGTTTAAGAGGAAGACCATCTCTGTGCACTAAAGGGGCACATTGTCGCTTACAGCCATCTACAGTTGATTTAATCTTTTGATCCTGGGATTACAATGCATTGAGCACATGCTGATCCCACCATGGCAAAGTGGACTACTGCAGCAAAGATTGCTGCTGATCCTCTCTATCCAATTTTGAGTCTTTGAATTCACTGGGGATGTCAATTCATCTCTTTTATTTCCGAGGTTTAGATATGCTCTCAATCTATCTCTATGTGTTACACTTCTGGCATAGACGGGTTTGGGTTTTTTTTTGGTTTACATAGTGTTTTAGAAAAGCCTGTATGCTAGATGACATGCTGTCTACCCAGCATAGGTTAAGTCACATCCAGCATCAGCATCAAAAGTGGACAAGCTGTGCTCTGTGAGGCCAAACATGAGACCACAGAGAAATACAAAACCTTATCTGGAATGTGATGATTGGTATACCAACAAAACGGGAGGGAAACGTATCACCTCCGCACAGTAAAGCTTTATCTAACAACTTTGTTACAATTAAACTTCTTGTTCATCTGATGTTGTTATCTCTCTTGTGCAGCCACATCAACCAGAAGACCCAGTTTGAGAATCCAGTACAGGAAGCTAAGAGAAAGTTGAGCGTTGACGCGCCCACTGCAGTGCTGCTGCCAGCAGCCACACCCTCAGGTAAGTGAACTGTTTCATACAGATCTGCAATGGAGTGAGATCATTCTGATTTTCTCACTGCTGATTTATTTTTTCCAAAGTGGCAACAGGGAGAGAGGAAAAGAAAATGTCAGTTCAGATTTAGTTTTTTAAACCAATCCACATTCAGACAGGTTGTTTTTTTTTTTTTTAAGAGAAGAAGGAATTTAATGCTGGCATGATACATTTTGGCAGATTAAGATGAACTAAACATTATAGACGTTGATATTGTGGTTTGACACAGATCTTTAGTCAGTTCTGCAATGTTTACATTCATTGTCATGGTTTAGATTGAGGGCCGGGACATTTAACTCAAACTGGTCATCAGGGAAATAGACAGGAATTGACATCATTTGCTCTAAATTGCATCCTGGAATTTGAGAGAGAGAGAGAGAGAGAGAGAGAGAGAGAGAGAGAGAGAGAGAG